TAGAAAAACAAGGTGCCCTGGCATGATTTTGATGGTTGGAATGTGCTTAGACTGGGCAGAAATGATGAACTGTGCAGAAAGCACTACTCAAGGAAGACTTTTTCAAAATTGTCTTATTTTCCATGGAACTTTAGCCCTGCATTAGGGTTAGAAAACCCCATGGACAGTACCAAAAGGCAAAAATTTATGACACCGGAAGATGAGCCCCTCAGGTCAGAAGGTATACAATATGCTACTGGGGAAGAGCAGAGGGCTAGTACTAGTAGCGCCAGAAAGAATGAAGCGACTGGGTCAAAGCCGAAAGGACACTCGGTTGCAGATGTATCTGGTGGTGAAAGGAAAGTCCGATGCTGCAAAGATCTATACTCCACAGGAACCTGGAATGTAAGATCCATGAATCAAGGCAAGGTGGATGTGGTCAAACAAGAGATGACAAGACTGAACATCGACATCTTAGGAATCAGTGAACTAAAATGGACAGGAATGGGTAAATTTAAAAAATTCAGATGACCATCAGGTATACTACTGCGGGCAAGAATCCCTCAGAAGAAATGGAGTAGCCTTCATAGTCAATAAAAGAGTAGGAAAAGCAGTACTGGGATACAATCTCCAAAATGACAGAATGATCTCAGTTCAAATCCAAGGCAAACCATTCAGTATCACAGTAGTCCAAGTCTATGCCCCAACCACTGGTGCTGAAGAGGCTGAAGTTGAGCAGTTCTATGAAGGCCTACAACACCTTCTAGAATTAACACCAAAAATGATGTCCTTATCATCGTGGGGGATTGGAATGCTAAAGTAGGAAGCCAAAAGATAACTGGAATAACAGGCAAGTTTGGCCTTGGAGTACAAAATGAAGCAGGGCACAGGCTGGTAGAATTTTGTCAAGAGAATTCGTTGGTCATAGCAAACACTCTTTTCCAACAACCCAAGAGACGACTCTACACATGGACATCACCAGACGGTCAACACAGAAATCAGATTGACTATGTGCTCTACAGCCAACGATGGAGAAGCTCTATACAGTCAGTAAAAACTAGACCAGGAGCTGACTGTGGCTCAGATCATGAGCTTCTTGTTGCAAAATTTAGGCTTAAATTGAAGAAAGTAGGGGAAAGCACTAGGCCACTCAGGTATGACCTAAATCATATCCCTGATGAACATACAGTAGAGGTGACAAATAGATTTAAGGAATTAGATCTGATAGAGTGCCTGAAGAACTATGGATGGAGGTTCGCAACATTGTACAAGAGGTAGCAACTAAAGCCATCCCAAAGAAAAAGAAATGCAAGAAAGCAAAATGGCTGTCAGAGGAAGCTTTACAAATAGCTGAGGAAAGAAGGGAAGCGAAAGGCAAGGGAGAAAGAGAAAGATACACCCAACTGAATGCAGAATTCCAGAGAATAGCTAGAAGAGAGAAGAATGCCTTCTTAAATGAACAGTGCAAAGAAATAGAAGAAAACAACAGAATAGGGAGGACCAGAGATCTCTTCAAGAAAATTGGAGATATGAAGGGAATGTTTCATGCAAAGATGGGCATGATAAAGGACCAAAATGGCAGGGACCTAACAGAGACAGAAGAGATTAAGAAGAGGTGGCAAGATTGCACAGAGGAACTATACAAGAAAGAGCTTAATGTCCCTGATAACTACGATGGGGTGGTCACTGACCTCAAGCCAGACATCCTGGAATGTGAAGTCAAATGGGTCTTAGGAAGTCTGAGCAACAACAAAGCTAGTGGAGGTGACAGTATTCCGGATGAGCTATTCAAAATCTTAAAAGATGATGCAGTAAAAGTGCTACACTCAATATGCCAGCAAATTTGGAAAACTCAACAGTGGCCACAGGATTGGAAAAGGACAGTTTACATTCCAATCCCAAAGAAGGGCAATGCCAAAGAATGTTCAAACTACTGCACCATTGCACTCATTTCACATGCTAGCAAAGTTATGCTCAAAATCCTACAAGCTAGGCTCCAGCAGTATGTGGACCGAGAACTACCAGAAGTACAGGCAGGATTTCGAAGAGGCAGAGGAACTAGAGATCAAATTGCCAACATACGCTGGATCATGGAGAAAGCTAGGGAGTTCCAGAAAAACATCTACTTCTGCTTCATTGACTATGCTAAAGCCTTTGATTGTGTGGATCACAACAAATTGTGGCAAGTTCTTAAAGCAATGGAAGTCCCAGACCATATTATTTGTCTCTTGAGAAACCTATATGCGGGTCAAGAAGCAACAGTGAGAACTGGACATGGAACCACTGATTGGTTCAAAATTGAGAAAGGAGTTCGGCAAGGCTGTATACTGTCGCCCTGCCTATTTAACTTATATGCAGAGCACATGATGAGAAAGGCAGGGCTAGATGAATCACCAGTTGGAATTAAGATTGCCGGGAGAAATATCAACAACCTCAGATATGCAGATGATGCCACTCTCATGGCAGAAAGTGAAGAGGAACTAAATAGCCTCTTGATGCGGGTGAAGGAGGAGAGTGCAAAAGTTGGCTTGAAACTCAACATTAAGAAAACTAAGATCATGGCATCCGGTCCTCTCACTTCCTGGCAAATAGATGGGGAAGAATTGGGCCAGTGACAGATTTTATTTTCCTGGGCTCCAAGATCACCGCAGATGGGGACTGCAGCCCAGAAATTAAAAGACGCTTGCTCCTGGGGAGGAAAGCTATGGCAAATCTAGACAGCATACTAAAAAGCAGAGACATCACCCTGCCAACAAAAGCGCGTATAGTCAAGGCTATGGTTTTCCCAGTTGCAACGTATGGCTGTGAAAGCTGGACCATAAGGAAGGCTGAGCTCCAAAGGATTGAGGCCTTTGAATTGTGGTGCTGGAGGAGACTCCTGTGAGTCTCTTGGACCGCAAGGTGATCAAACCGGTCAGTCCTAGAGGAGATCAACCCTGACTGCTGTTTAGAAGGCCAGATACTGAAGATGAAACTCAAATACTTTGACCATCTAATGAGAAGGAAGGACTCCCTGGAGAAGAGCCTAATGCTGGGAACAATAGGTGGGAAAAGAAGAAGGGGACGGCAGAGAATGAGGTGGCTAGATGGAGTCACTGAAGCAGTTGGTGTGAGCTTAAGTGGACTCCGGGGGATGGTGGAGGACAGAAAGGCCTGGAGGAATGTTGTCCATGGGGTTGCGATGGGTCGGACACGACTTCATGACTAACAACAACAAGGGTTAGAGGTCTGCGCCAGGGTAGGTTTAGGGTTCGAAAAGCGACGTGTCCTGGCATGTTTTTGATGGATGAAATGTGTTTAAAATATTTCAGCGGTGCAGATAAAGCTACTGTGGGCACGCTGAGCCCTCTCTGTCGGCATGCGAGAGAAGTCACCCCAGAATCGCCCCAGCAGCCGATCATCAGATAACAGTTCACATAGGAGCCATGCGCATGCTCGGAAAGGAGTAGCAGCGCCTGGTGATGAGCTCACAAGCCGCGTCTCATTAGCTGCGACTCATCCTAGCTTTCCCCTGGCCATCAGTGCGCTGACAATTATATATTTATATATATTTGCTTGGCCTGGCTATGAGGTTTTTTTTTCTAAACTAAAAGTTCAGTTTTCAGATTTTATTGTAGTGTTGACTATTTGCGATAAATAAGTGGGTTTTGAGTTGCAGTTTGGGCACTCGGTTTCTAAAAGTTTCGCCATCACTGGTCTAAGTACAAATTTGAGCAGCATCATGGCAGTAGCTTAGAAAGTGTTTACTTTTTTAAAGTAAAAATGTATGCTGTCTGTTTGTTGTTTTCTTCAGCTAGACATACTTGCATTTTGAAACAGTCTCACAAGATGGAGAAAGAGTTTTACCTCAATCCAACCCAGACAGATTATAGCCTCACAAGGGTACACAGAGTGTTTAAACATTATAGAACATCCCCAGTTGTTTATAGGCCTAGCATTCCTCCACCACAGGTAAAGAGGGAGCACAGGGAATGCAGGAAGAAGAGGTGAAGGGCACAATCAGAACCAAGAGGGCCCAGCCCTGGGGTGCAGGCTGCTCTGCCCTTGGGGTGCTGAGAGTCCCTGCAAGGCTAGAGGCTGGCATGGAGTACAATTTTCAGCACAAAGGTGGGAAAAACAGGTTCATGCGTTCTCTGGAGAAGATGAGCACTATAAAGACAGCCTTCATCATGGGTGACGGAGAATCCAAGAACTATTGTTAGTGGTTTGAGGAAGAGTACAAGGCAACAAAGGACAGGTGGATGGGCAAGGCTGAGAGCTCAAAGCAGCAGCAACGTGGAAGATGCGTGTAGACCGCTTGTGGGGACACTTGAATTCCACTCCCAACCTTCACAATGGGAAAAGCATGAATCTGTAATCTGTAAGGGAAAAGCATGAAACTGGAATGTGGTTGCTGTAATGGGTACATTCAGGTGCTGGGAAACAGAGACTAGCCCTAGCTTCCCAATATACATTCACCATGCTTACGCACCATGAAATGGAGTCTTTGTTTGTTTGTGTGCTTCTCTACACAGCAAAAGTGGCTCTGAGTAAAATCAATGAAGTGGATGTTTTAGACCGGCCACCTCCTGGGAGAGATGAAGGAAGAACTGTTGCGAGGATGTTAGAGCGCCGCTGAGCTGGCCTGCTGTGGGACAGAAACAATAATCAGACCGAGTGGCACTGTACAGTGGGAGAGACAGCACCAGAGTTGCTGGTCTACTTTAGCACTGATTACAGTTTCACCTTTTAACGAAGTTGAGGGAAATCAAAATGGAAATTCAGATTGGAAAGTAATTGGCACAACTTATACCCTAACCAGTGGGGTTGGGGCTGTGATGTTGTTAACAGCTTCATTGCGTTGGCAGTTATTTTTATTTTAAAAAGGCCCATTCCATGCTGCTGCAGCCCCAGTTCTTTGTTTTATGCAAATAGCTACAAGAGGCTTGCTCAAGAGTTGAAGGAAAATTTCCTTTGTACTTAATGTATGCCAAATGTTCTTTGCATCTATTCTTGATTTAAATGTCTGCATTTCTCCACAGGAGCTGAGACAAGCACTGGAGAACAGCTCAGAATCAAAAACCTGTCCATCTGCTGAGAGGCAAACAGCACCATGGAGCCGCAGGATGGTGATGCGGTTGCCTTGGCAACAAGGAGAAACTCTACCGAAGATGCTGTCACTGAGTGTGGCTCTTCTGGCAGTCCTTATTGCCTTTTATTATGGAGGTGTTTGAGTGGAAAACTGAACTGAATTAGGATCACGTCAAGAAACATAACTAGCCGATTAAAACCTTCAGAATCAGATGCTGGATACTTCAAGGCCTTACCTTTTACTCACAACCTGGAGAAGACCTCTGCAACTCTGGGGTTCAGTCCTATTCATGATTAGATAGACAAAAGTCCCTCAAACCCCAGCATGACTGGCTGGGAAATGCTTGGGAGTCGTAGGTCTTTTTTCTAAGCATGCATAAGATTGTATCCTGAGTTGTTGTTTTTCAGGATCAAAAGTATTAGTTTGTATTAAAAACACCCACCTCTTTCCATTTCTAAAATATGTGATATCCCTATTATGCATACCATTTTCAAAATTATAACACAAGACAAGTTTTTTAAAAATTAAGTTATTTAAGTTTATTTGTTAAGTCATGAACAGTTCTCTTGTATGGTGATCATTTGAGATTTTATTAAAAAAAATCTTAATCACTTTGAACCATGCCATATTTTTCTGTTATACTGAAATATTGTGTTCAAAATTGCTGTCAAGCTTAGTTGTATCTGTTATTTTTACTGTTCTATTCTGTTCATAAACAATTCAGGCTATAATGCAACAGGAAGGCCGAGACTGATAGAACTGATTCCCCTGAATCAGTTTTCCCCAACCTGTTGCCCCATGGATGTTTTAGACTTCACCTCCCCATCCAACCCAGCAAGCCTGGCCAATGGTCAGGAATCCTGGGAAATGTCATTCTAAATATCTGGAAACCATCAAGTTAGAGAAGGCTTCCCTAAGAACCTGGAAGCTCAAAGGCAATAAGGCAATACTTAAAACCCAGAATATTTTGCTTCCTACTTGGTGTCCTTCATTCTCAGGGACCAGTTTATTCGCAATCCACATGTGCTTCTTGAAGCAAGAATTACATTTGGCCCAGATTTTATTGTTCCCTAGACAATGAAGCATTGTTCAATTTGTTGAAGAAGGCTGCCTTGGCATGTTTTGCAGCCATCAGCATGCCTCCTCCTGGTTTACCACAAGGGAGACCACTCAGTCTCCTGGAGCTGCTGCAGGGTTATGGGAATCTGTGGAAACATTTACAATTTATGTATGTTTACTGAAGAGTAAGTCTTGCTGTGTTAACTAGGGCTCACTTCCAGTTAAGTGTGCATAAATTTGTGGCCACAGATTCTTGCTGGCTTCTTTGCAGTCCTAAACACTAGAGAAAGATTGCTAAAAGGCTGAGACTGGGGTATAGACGGATCCAAGCTGTCTTTACATGGTTTTTGCACTTTATCACTGACACTTCTGTAGCTATCATTCACATGGTGAATTATGCACAAGTCTAGGAACCATGAGATTATCTTCCACAAGATGATTAAATAAAAGATTTCTTGGAAAGAAAAAAATGGCCAAGTGAATTCACATGGCAAAATGGGAACAATGAATTCTTTTATTAATTATTAAATGTTTCATTTGCTGCAAATCACATGATCAGGTCATATGAATGTGTATTATCAATGGCAATGTAACAGAGAAATGTGCCCAATATTGTTATGTGTGTGAAAGAGAATCTTCTGAGGAGACCTCAGCCACCTTTGTCACATTTTAGCTTGCAGATTTCAAAACATCTGACAGTTCCTGTTAATTTAGTCGCGCTCCCCAGTTCAGTTTCCCATATGGAAAGCTGCAGTGATTTTTGAATAACAGCAAGTAATATCTAAAGTGGCAGCAACTGGCAACTTGGATATTGAGCTTGGTTGCAGTCATTACCCAGAATTCCTCTGTACTTTTTGAGAAGCAATTACAATTTCACAGGTTGGAATTAAAATTCCCTGCAGTATGCAATAGAGTAACAAACTGTCAAAGTGATTTCAAGCTGCTAATCTCTCACTGTGGTATGAGTGAAAATAGAATTCCTCATGCCTTGTGTACAGGGCTGACAACTTTAAAAGCTCCAGTTTTCTACCACATCTGAATACATGTGGGAGAACAGAATGGTCCACCCACACACAGGATGTTTCCTAATAGGAGATATCTGGAAAAGTGACTCAAAGTGCAATCCTATGCATGTCTAGAGAGAAAACCGCTTTCAGCTCCCAGTATGCCCAGCCAGCTATGCTGGAAGTTGTAGGCCTTTTGTCTGTCTAAATATGCAGGGGATTGTGCCTTTAGCAGCCTGCAAAATTGCTGGTCGTGATGTGTGTTAATTCACAAAGACCAAGCCAAAAATTATGCCGGAGAGCACAATATATCTCAGTACATTACCAATGTGATCTTTTTCCCCAATGCTGCCTCATAAACTGATGCTAGTTGATAATAGATTGGCGTTTAGTTACTGTGGATTCCTGTTCCTTCCAATGGAAAATACCAACAGCTGACCCTCATACCAAGGAGGAAAGAGCTACTGGACCTGGAACATAGCACACAGACTGCATCAAATAAGATGTGAGATTTCAGGAGTTCAAATATACTGTTTGCAGACACACACACACACACACACACACACACACTCCTGTTAGGCTTTCTCCATCCTTTTGCGGCCATGTCCTGATGCCACAGTTTTAGCATAATTACACCCAAAGCAAACATCTGTGTAGAAAATTAACTCACGTTAGCTCACTTACAGAAATGTGACTTGCCCAAGGGTAGGAACAAAATCAGTAAGGGGAGCATTAAAAATGACACTAGTGTTATTCATAGCACTATTTGACTGTCATCCTTGGACACAGAGCCTTCCCAAAATGGAGAGAACAGGTTCTTGCCCCCAAGGGCTTCTGCTGCCACAAGGCAATGATGCAATGGACAGAAATGAAGGAAGGGGGTGGAAGGAGAGGTTAACTATTGCAAATCTATCAGCTTTAGACTTTAGCTATAGAGAACAGGGGTTTCTGCCAAAGTCTTCACAGAAAAGGAGACTAGCCGCAGTTCTCAGACCTTCAGAAGGCCACTCTTCCCTGCACTATCTAAAGGAAATAATAATAGCTGAATGAATGCCAGTTAGCTTTCTTGAAAATTAGCTCATATTTGCAAAGGTGATTCCTGCTTGAAGAAGTCTTGCATGTTGAACTTCGTTAACTTCACCTCTAGAACTGTGCTGATTAGTAACATGATGTTTTGTTGTTGTTTTTTCTTGGCAAGACCAAAGGAAAGAAAGCCAGGAGGCAATATCTGTCTAGATTACAAGGTGATTTGAACGCAGGAAACTCTTTCATGGCTTGCCTCTCGTTTTGCATGTTTGCCTAATCTATTTTCGCATTACTTCATGCATGCGCTGGTGCTGAATTTTCTCCAAGCTTGCGTTCTTCCATGTTATTGGAGAAAATACCAATAAACCAGAAATGCAGGAATAACCTGCCACATGTGATCTTTTGCAGTTCCCGTCACTCATTAAAGCCCCCAGAAATGGCTGCCACCTTCTTGACAAGAATTTGTGTAACTCCAGATTACATGCTGTGCGTTCCATGTGAACAGAAGAAAAGGTTAGCTCGGTGGTGTGGAAAAGGCAGCGGGAATCGGCGCTCAGCACAAAATTCAGAACTTGATCTTTGATTGGTTTTGTTCAGTAAAGTTTGGGATTGAATAAGGTAACAGTGGACATATATACACACTAAAGGGCTCTTTTTTATTAAGGGGCAACCTGTGCTCCCTTAAGGCTTAGAGAAGGATTCACAGAGCAGCTCAAGCCAGGAGATTTTTCCAGAGTCTCCAAAGATTTCATGGCTTGGGGCTGTGTCAGGGCCTCATGCGGGGCTGAGATGGAGCAGATCCTGAAGCAGTGTCATTAGACAGCAGGACTCCAACAGCTGCATACAGCATTCACAGCCTTCCAGATTATGCTTGCCAGTAAGGCTGTTCAAAGGTCTCGTTTCCCTCAATTATCGGTGAGACCTCAAACTGTGAGACAATATGGGTTCTAAGAACAACATAGCCCTTTCCTCTTAAACACTTGAGAAGGCAGATGGTGGTCATAATAATAAGTGAAAGGCATAATGGCACAGCACCACCTCAATGTGCACTAATAAATGTGCCAAGCAACACACACGCAAATGGATGGGAGGAAAGGCTCCAGAGCTTGGCAAGGGAGTGTTGCGTTCTCTGGTTCTATGTTACATTCCAGAAACCATGTTTTGGAGAGCAGAAGTGGCACTCAAGCCACTAACAAAACGGATGACCCATAGCATTCGATGTCTGATCTTTCAGTCTCTTTCCCAGCACTTTGTATTCAACCTGTGCTGCTGCTTCCCATGACGCTGCCACACAAGATGGTGGTTTTCTCATTCAGGTCTTCCTTCATCCTTTCAGAGGGCTCTAACAAAACAAGCCAGGACCTTTAAACTTTGCTTTCAGCTTCGACCATCTACTTCAGGATTATCTACACTGACAGCCACAGCTGTCCTAGGTTCTAGACAGGGCCCCTTCCCAGTTGTGCCCACAGAGCACAAGCTGTACCATGGAATTATGGTTCTTTGAGTTTCTGGGTGCAGGGTGCACCTGCTACGGTAAGCAGGATCACAGCCGCTGATGGTGATGAAACGTGTTGGGCAATATATCTCCCCGGTTGACGGTTTAGTACTTCTTTGCAATAGTGCAAGACATGGGCCTATTGCCTCTACAAGCATCGTTTCTGTTTTGCCTTGTAATTCGTTGCAGGCGGCCCATGCACAAAAGTATATTCTGCTAATTTCTGCACTCATGTAGGTTTTTGTTTGTTTGTGATATAGTTTGCCTCGCTTTTCTACTATATAAAGCTCAGTGGCATGCAAAAAAATCTATTAAATTTGATTCAGGCTGCTTTCTTTAAACATCAGTCTACTGGATTCAATGCCTGTTTTCTGAATGATGCACAGTGACGTGTGAGGAATCTACATTCTGGTGTGAGAATCCATTGGCTTCCCTCAGCTTGGCTCCCCAGATTCTGGCCTCAAAACTGATGTGGTGCTGAGTGTGCCGAGCAGTCACCGGGAATCAAGCCCACGCGAATGCTGCATAAGCCACCTCCCTCTTTCACGGCTGCGACCTGCTGCTTTTGCCTCGTGGTGCACAGCAAGGTTGCTGGCTGGCCTCAGCAGCAGTTCTGTGAGTGTTGGGGACTTTCTCTCGTCTCAGTTCATTTCCTGAGTGAGGGTCGAGCACAAGAAAAGGTTCAACAAAACAAGGAATCAGATTCTGGGAGAACTGTCACAACCCTGCCAACATTGGGAAAGCTGGTTTCCAGCTGATGAATGCCACTCAAATCCTGCCCGATGAGGATAAGAGATCTAAAACTTGCCTCGACTGTTTGGACTATTTAAGCAGGTTACTGTTTGGGTGCTTGCTATTCCTACCTTTTCCATAAGGTTTCAGGTTCATGGTAACTGCAGTAGACAATTCAGGAAAGGCCTGTTCGGGCTAGTGGACAGGCCTTTGCAGTCACAATTCTCCCACCATTAAAACCAGGTGGAATATTTGCACAAAGATGTCTTTCCTGGAGGAGAAGAGCCAGATGTGGATGGTGCCAGATGCTGA